GAAGGAAGGAAGGAAGGAAGGAAGGAAGGAAGGAAGGAAGGAAGGAAAAAAGATAGATTTCCATGCACACACTTAACTGACCTGATCCAGTTGCTTGCAGTCTGCCGTCTCTGGGCCTTTCTCTGTGATACCCAGCAAGCCTTGGTGCTTTAATGTCCTGCTGTTTTGGGGGTACTACCCTGGCCTCCCCTGGTGCTGCCATGGTCTCCCAACGCAGAGGGAACCTAGTATCTTTCTGTAGCCTTGTATGATTTCCTGCACTTCAGTGGGCCTCAGTTTCCCCGTCGGCACAACAGGAATTTCACCATCTTCACACCAGAATGAATCTTTTTTTATTTATTATTATGTATACAATATTCTGTCTGCATGTATGTCTGCAGGCCAGAAGAGGGCACCAGACCTCATTACAGATAGTTGTGAGCCACCATGTGGTTGCCGGGATTTGAACTCAGGACCTTTGGAAGACCAGGCAATGCTCTTAACCTCTGAGCCATCTCTCCAGCCCCCACCCCTCCCCCCTGCCAGGATGAATCTCAGATTGGGTGGAGGGGACAGTCACTGCCTGGAGTCTACTCCTTGCTGGCGACAGGGTCGGGTCCCATTGGACCTGGGCCTCAGCCTCCACAGAGCCTCAGGGACTAGGACCTGGGGTGGGGACCTACAACCCCAAGAGTCCCCTAGCCAGAGGCTGACCCCAGAACAGAGTGGATGGGGACAGAGTGGGAGAAGGTCTCCTGTGGGACTTTACAGACCCAGCCAAATCCCCAGTGAGGCACCTGGAGAGGTCACTGGTCCTCACTGGGCATGAGGAGCTGGAAGTCTTACCCTCTCCCCATCCCATCCTCCTCCCTTGACCCCCTTCATTGGGTGACCAGACCATCAGCAGAGGAATTACCCAAGGTCAGACTAGCTCTCCCTGGGGTCCCTCCACCCACAGCCCAGCTGCTGGCAGGAGCCCCCCCACAGGAACCCTGGGGGGAAAGTGACAGCTATCACCTGGGCCCCTCAGACTGATCTTCCCAGGAGCAGACTCTGGCTGAAGAACCCAAGTGGGCACAGCATCCCAGAATCCAGGGTGAACCCCAGGCCTTATGGTCCTTAGGCCTGGGCTCTAGCAAGAGCCCACCTCAAAACACAAAGGTGGTCAGGGCCCGGTGGCACAGAGGCAGAAGGGTCTCTGCGAGGAGTTCTAGGGCACGGGTTACAGAGACCGTGCCTCAAAACACAACAAACAAGCTAGTCCAACAAAAACAGGGTCGCTGAGACGGCTCCATGAGTAAAGGCGACTGCAGCGAAGCCTGACATTCCGAGTTCGATTCCCAGGCCCACATGGTGGAGAACAGACTTCTGCACAATGTCTGAGCAGACAAAACGCCTAAGAAACCAGTAACTATAAAAAAAATAAAAACAAGTAGAGATTCATGCCAGGGCCTTCCCACAGACAGCCTAGCAGGGCTCAGCGAAGTCCCCACCGCCGGGATTGCCACAGCCAACTCTGCTCACCTGTCCAGAGGAAAGGGGGTCCCCACCCCACAAGACAGAGGCAGGGACACAGCGGCCAACCTTTTCATGTTTTTATTTTAAAGGCACAGCTAGACCCCACCCTCAGTACAGCAATCTCCCTTCGTGGGGAGACCAGGACGACACACCAAAGCTAACTATATACACATACACGCGTGGCGCTTCGGTCTTTTAACTCTTTCCTCTTTTTCTTTCTTTAAATCCCCTTTCTTAGAAGACAAGCTATAGAATACTGGGGCAAAAAAAGGAATAATAAACAAACCAAATTCAGAACCCTCATGTTTATTTGGGGAAGGGGAGAAGGGAAGTTTGTGGGTGCCCGCCCCCGCTGCAGTCCCAAGCCTTCATGTCACTTCCTCTGTTCCCCTCCTTCGTGGGCGAGGGAACTGGACTGGGTGAGTTGGGGGGGGGGGTGTCTGGACCTAGCAAGTGTACAGTGTGGGGAAGCAGAGATGGGGGACGGGGAGGACTCAGGGCGGAAAGGGGCAGCTAGAGTTGCATTGTGTACATTCTGGGCCAAGACTGGTGGCGGTGACCCAGATAAATGTCGCAGGTGGGGGATTTCTTGCTGCCCTCTGTAACCTGGGGTGTCCCTCTGAGGTCCCCTAGGCCCAGGGTGCAGGGCAAGCAGGCTGGAACCAGGACTGGGGGTGGAAGCTTGGGTAGCGACCGAGCTCTGTGCTGTGTGGCCCTCGGAACACCGCTCCCTCTCTGTGCCTGTCTCCCCTGTGTCCCCTCCCCCCTCCCCCCTCCCCGGGAGCTAATCCGACTTCTCGCCGTCATCCTCCTGGTGGGTGTCCCCATCATGTCCATTCTTGTCCTCCTTAGAGAGGTGTGCCTGAGAGCCCAGAGCCGAGAGGGACAGCAGGCCGGTGCCCGCGCTGACTGCAGGGAGTGATGGCGGTTGGAGCCCCACGGGCAGCGGTGTCAGGGGCAGGGCCAGCGCCTGCAGCTGGGACAGCTGGTGAGCCTGGAGCTGCTGCTGCAGGGGTGAGGGGGGGACGGGGTCATCCCAGGTTCATCCGGGTCATCTGCCCACCCAGGACACCGGTCAGTCACCTGAATTACTGAGGGACCCTACATAGGTCCTCATCACTGTCAGCTACCTGCCCATCTGAGTCAGGTGTCCATCTGTGTCCCTGTCGCCGGTCTCCTGCCTATCCAGGTCATCTGCCAGTCACCTGCCCGCCCGAACCCCCCACCTCCTGTCATCCTGTCACACGGGTCACCTGTCACCTGGCTGTCTGGGCCATCTGCCCACCTGAGTCACTGTCCCCTGCTCACCCAGGTGCTCTGACTTACTCGGATGATGGAGTTCAGCTCAGGAGCCGTGACCTGCTTGGCTCTCTCGATGGCTCCCAGGACCTGTTGCTGATGCTGGAACAGACAGGGGGAGGGGGCAGTGACTGTTCCCTCACGCAAAGGGACAATCAATTGAGAAAGAGACTGGCGTAAAGAAATGGGGGTGGGGCTTCTGTGCAGCGGACAGCCGCTGGAATGCACAGGGAAGCCATGCCCTAGGTACTCGGGGACCATGGGAGGATGTGGGGTGGCCATGGCGAGGAGTCCAGCTCGGGGAATTTTCTCTGAAAGCTGCCCTCCTGGGTCCCCCATCATCTGCCCTCCCTCCACCCGGGTCCCCCTTTATGCCCCCCCCCATGGCGGCTTGCTTACCTCCTGTGACAAATAGGGCAGAACCTGGGCGCAAATCCCATTCAGCCTCTTCACGATTTCAGCCTGGAACACACATAATTTCCCTCAGTACCTGGGGGACACTTGGAGGGGGTGGGGACGGGGCTGAGGCCATGCCTGGGGGCCAGCCAGGCCCACCCAGAAGGGCTAAGATGTGGGGGTGCTGGGTCCGCCTCTGGGGGTTCTCAGTCTGGAAGTCACTGGGCGCTGAGGTGATGAGGGAAACTGAGGCTTACCTGTTTATGCATCTCGATGTTCAAGCCATAGGACATCTCATAGTACTGCAGGGTGGGGAAGGAGGCATGTCACGGACCAAGGGCTCACTCCACACATCCCAGCATTCCTTGTGCCCTCCCATCCACTGAGTTTCTAGTTGTTCTTCACGACCCCTGTCACAAAGCCCTAAGACCCCCCAACCTTCCCTGCAAGGATCTACAGGTTCCACGGGGTTAGGAGGGCTCTGGCCATGGAAGGGTTAAGGGATGCCTATCCGGATAGCCTGAAGGGAGGGGACTGGTGATGGCTCCCCAGTTGCTTCCGGCAGGCTGGCTGGCTGTGGCTGACTTCCACGCCGCCTCCTCCAGCTGCAGCCAAGGACAGCAGGGTCCTGGCAGGCCCAGGATGCAAGTCAGTAGTTTGGCACCTCAGCCACTACCCGGGCTGGCGGCCAGGCCACCCTCGGCCACGGGGACTCGGTAGCAGGCACCTGCGCTGTGTGGGGAGTCTGGGGTCACCCGCCCGGACCCCCGGGTCCCTCAGGGGACTTTACCATGACGTAATGCCGCTGCATCTCTGATTTTTCGCTGGCCAGCTTGTCACACTCCAGCTTGAGGCTGAGGACACACAAGAGTAGCTCAGGTCCCCTCAGCCCGCCTTCTGGAGGGTCAAACTGAAAACTTTTTGGTTTGTGTTTTTGAGACAGGGTCTCATGTAGGCCAGGCTTGCTCACTGTGGAGCTGAGGATGACCCTGAACTCCTGATTCCCCTGCCTTAGCTCCCTGCATGCCGGGCAGCAGGCCTGCACCACATCTGGCTACATTTAAGGTCACCCCTAGGTTTTCTGCAATCCTGGGCAGGCAGGGTTGCCTCAGTTTACCCTACTGTGAAACTATGAGAGCAATCTCCACAAAATAACAACCACCAAGGCAGAGGTGCCTCTGTGGCCAACGGATGAGGTCTGCATAACTTGGCTTCCATCTTCACAGGTGACTCAGTGGGTGCCCAGAGAGGGTGAGTGAGCAGTTCAAGGTCACACAGCTGAGCAGTAACCTAACTAAGAACTTTCTTCACACACAGACAAATGAAGAGACTGAGGGGGCCTAGGGTTGAGGGGGACAGCGGAAGAGGCCCCCAAGGGATCCTGGCTTCAGGAGCCTTTGCACCAGCCCTGCCGTCTCCCTGGCTCCATTCTGGGTCACCTGCTCTACTTCTCTGGGCCCCAGTTACAGCCAGGATGGTGAGGGGCCAGTGGGGTCAAAGGGTCTGGGGCTCGCTGAGGAAGGAGGGAAGTGACATCCCCTAAACTGTCCTCTGACCTTCACACTGTACCGTGACACCCCCCCATAAATGTAATAAGAAATATTTCTTTTTAAATCCAGAAAAGAAACAAGCAAAAAAAGCAAAACAAAACAACACTTTGGAACGTGAGAGAGTGACCAGGAGGGTAGCCACGAATTCTACCCTATCTGAAAATTAAAATATCCTGCACTTGCGAAGCAGAAGCAGGAGAATCTCCTAGCTCGCGGTCAGACTGGTCTACAGAGCAAGTTCCAGGGCTGTGTAGAGAGACCCCGTCTCAAAAAACAAAACAAAACAAAACAAAAAAAAAAAGAAAAAGAAAAGGCAAAAAATATATAAAATAAAAGCAGCCGCAGGAGGACGTCTCAGGCTGTCTTGGAGCCAGGATCCCACCCTGGCTGGGTCCCCAACTAGTCTAGCCTGGTCTCACAGCCAACCGTTCTCACAAAATGACTGAGTATTGAGGTGACTGGGTCCCAGCAGGGCTTAGCGGGTCAAGCGACTGCAGCTCAAACACAAGGATCCCAGTTCGAATCCCAGAGTCAGGCTGGGAAAACCCAGGCTTGTGTTATGTCCTCCCACGAGGTGAGGACTGGGGGAGATACAGGAGCTCGAGAGACCAATAGGGACACTGCTGTCATGTGGTGGACACACACACACGCACGCACGCACGCACGCGCACACACACACGAATAAATAATAGTAAGTTCAAGCTGGGCGTGGCTCAGCCATGAGCACCAAGGGGAAAGGGGGGATAGTGGGGGGACCGACACAGAAACTATTCCCAGGGAACTTATTCTCAAAGTGTGGATGTCGCTCCCAAGTGGGAGCCCCTTCACCCACCACCCCACACAGCTGGGAACCCTGGCCCATTACACAGCACAAGGCAGCTCAGAGAGAACATCCATCCCCCCCATCCATCCCCCTGGGGGCGGGGGGGACAGCACATAGCAGCCTGTGGATCTTGACGAGGTCAGCCAGGTTCCCCAAGGGGGATGGGGCCACAGACACAAGTGGGGACCAGAACCACGGGGGTGGGTGCTATGGGGGAGGCTCAATGGGTAGCCCGCTGGCCCAGCACAGGAAGCCCTACTTGCCTGTCTACTATTAGCTCAAGGTCATCTTTGGCTACAAAGGCAGCTGGGGAAAGCCTGGGTTACATGAGACCCTGTCTCAAAATAAATACCAAAAAGTAAAAATATAAATTAAAAAAATTTCACAAAATCTGAGATTTCCTCTTTTTCATGAAAAAAATCTAAAGGTCTTTCAAAGTTTATTAATATTATTATTATTATTACTACTATTATTATTATGTGGTTGTTACTATTATTTGTTTTCTGAGACAGAGGTTTGCTCTATACCTCAGCCTAGCCCAGAACACCTCCATCCTGCTGCCCATGTGTCTGAGGGCTGGAATGTCAGGTCTGGAACCCCCATGCCCAATCACCGTTGGGTTATGGAGTAAAATGGGGACCCTGAGCCACTCCCCAGCCTCAGGCTGCTTCTGTGCTGTGCAAACCCTTGGAAAATGCTGACCTCTCTGGGTTTCAGGGTGATCAGTTTCACATATGAGAAGCAGGAAGAGGATTTGTGGGAGCCAGCCAGCTGGAGGGTGTGGGGGACACCAGCAAGCTCCCCGCCCCACAACTGGAGAAAGGGGTGAGGTGGGCTGTGTGGGCTCCACAGGGCCCGTGTTACAGTGAGATCACTGCCGACAGGGTCTCTGAAGCCATGAACCGTGTGTGCCTCAGTTTCCTCCTCCACACTATGGGGCTGCTGGTTTGGTATGTAGCCCAGGCTGGCCTCAACCCCCACCAGCCTTCCTCCAGGTTCTGGACGAGCCCCCTCTTCCAAGGGTGCGGCCCCAGCCCGGCTCACCTGTGGTACTGTGCTTGCAGTAACTGGAACTCATCTTTGATGCGGTCGCAGGAGTCCGAGGTGGTGAACTTGAGCTGCTGGGGGAGGTGGGAGGAGCCCTGCGGGATGCGGGGTGGGAGTGTGGGAGGGTGAGTGCCCCGCCCACGCCCCACTTCCTGGGCTGCGCTCTGCAGGTCCTCTCTGAGGGAGCCAGGAGGGGGCAGGGAGGCCCGCAGGCAATGGGGTGCTTTTAGCGCGGGTCATTTGGGGCCACAGGCACCCATGGGGAGGGGTACACCTCTGTCCTCCGGCTGCCCCAAGGAGTCCCCGGGAAGCCCCTCTATGTTAAGCAGGGCACAGGCCTGCCCTCAAAGCCAGCTTGGAAGATGAACCTTGCTACTGCCCCACCATTTCCTGGGGGTACCCATCACACCTGTTTCCTCGGGTGTGCTATTCCAGGAGGAGACCCCAAAATCTGCCCCACCCCAGGGGTCCCTCCAGGCCCCAGCCAAAGCCATGGGAAGAAGACAGGGCTGGGAGTCAGAGAGGGAGTCTGTAGCTGGGGGGGGGGGGGGACACGGACAGAGGGGTGTCCCTGGGGTGAGGGGATGTACTGGGCCGGCATCTGAGGACACTGGGCCAAGAGTTAGGGTGTAAGATTCTCGGATTTGGGAAGCAAAGTAAGCGTCTGGGAGAGCAAGACTGGAAGCAGGGAGCGGGGTGCAGAGCCACTGGGAGCTAGGGTGGGAGGCAAGACGGGCCGGGCTTGGATGGGGGGGGCGCCTGCAGCTGGAGGGAGCAGACGTGGAGGGGGGGCTCGGGCTCCGGACAGGGGCAGGCACACACTGGGCGTTATAGGGGTGCAGGGTCCCACGCACCCTGGTGTTGGCACGATGGGGGCTGGGAGGAGGCAGGCCTCTGGGATGCGGGGCCTGCTGCTGAAGAACGCAGGGCCGGCCAGGCTGGGGGGTGGCGCTGGGCCCGGATGGTGACGCCAGGCCCGACCGGGCTGAAGGGAGAGGCGGGGGATGCGGGGCCTGAATTCGGGGGTGCTGGGCAGCAGACTTAGGGACAGGACAGATCTGAGGTGGAAGGAAGTGCAGGGCCTTGGACTTGGGGGCAGGCCGGTCTGGAGTCATTAGCGAGCTGGGCCTGGGGGGTGCAGAGCCCAGAGTTGGGCGTGCAAGGTCTCAGGCTGGAGGACATGCGCCGCCTGGGCTTGGGGTGCTGCAGGGCCTGTGCCCCAGGGCTGGGAGACAGGCCTGATGCGGCTGGAGTGGGGTGCGGGGCCCTGGGCTGGGAGACAGACTGGTCCGGAGCCTGACGGTCGGGGGGAACGGGACCCTGGAGTCGGGATGGACAGAGGGTAGGGGGTCTCGGGGCCGGGATTCAAGTTCAGGGATCCGGGCTGAAGGATGCAGTGCTGGGCCGGTGGGGTGCGCACGGCCTGGATTATGGGGGTGCAAGGACCCTGGGGACAGACCCCCCAGGACTGAGGGACAGGCCTCTGGGAGCTGGAGGCGCGTAAGGAGCCCCTGGGACAGGCCCTGGGCGGGGAGACAGGCGGGATCCGAGCTACGGGGGTGCAGTGAGCCGAGCTGGGGGTGCAGGGCGAGCTCCGGGGTGCAGCGCGCGGGGTCCCCCTTACCGAGTGCCGGCTTTGCGGAA